GGGGGGCGCTTTCGTGGCCTAGAGGTTGAGGTGTTTGCCTCTCATTCAAAGGTCCTGAGTTCGAATCCGGGTAGCGACGGAACAATTTTCTTCTCTAAATTGCCTTCTTTCACCTCATTTCCTGCTCTCTAGCAATGTTCTCTGGTCTGCTTTCGTCTCCACTTTCTGCCCCTACCACCTAAACTCATTTGCCCCCTCGCCTGTGGGCTCCTGACTTTTTCTGCAGCCTTTCTACTGCTACTCAAGCTCCTTCTTACTGCCTGCTGTCTTTCTGCCTCACCCCTGATCTTCTCGTAGGAAAGATCTACACCTAAATCTAGATCTAGCCTTTTCGGAGAAGGGCTAAAAGTCTCGGATGTCGGGTGTGCAAGTTGCTCACGTTAAAGATCCCTTGGTGGTCTCAAATCGAAGGCTTCGGTCGCCACCCGGGCAACATTCAAAATTTCCAACCAACTGAAAATGTCTGGTGTATCCTGCGCGCCAGCATGACCTTATGCAGTTGCGAGAGCGTAAAACACTCACCAAAAACAAACAAACAAACAAAAACTGAACTTTCGAAAACATCACCACAGTTTAGGCCCCGGCCTACAGTTCCAACGGTTTTCCACGTTTTCCCACCGGAACAGACACTTTCAATCCCAGGATGCAGCATCTCCGTGTTTCGAAAAATCACTGCATCTTTTGTCTCCCGCGCAACAGATGATCTACAACAGCGGTTTTCTTTCATCATCAATCCTAGCCTACTAATATAGATCTACTGAGCAGGTAAGAGTACATTTCCTTCTCTTGTGTTCTGTTTTGAACTTGTATGGTTACGGTGTCCGGTATGGTTATAGGCCTAGTTATTATAGATTCTAGATCTATAGAAAAGGTTAGATTTCAAGATCTAGCTTAATGCCCATTGTCTTGTTGAATCTAGGCTCATGCTCAATATGTTCGCTCGCTCGCACAGAAGGCCAGAATTCTTGATCTAATGTGTCGGAGAAATGGAGATTATAACACACTAGATTAGTACTAGAATCTAGGCCTACGCAGCTACTGTGAGTTGAAGCCGTGTAAAGTGTGTAACTTGTGGTGATCTGCTGTGTGTTAGCTTGTACGGTAGATCTACCTCAGGATGCCAGAAGTGATGGGCTGCGGGGCCTAGGCCTACACATTTCAGGCAGGGGTCAAATTCAAATGGCCTCGAATTCAAATAGAATCTAGCCTAGATCTAGAATTAATCTAGATATCTAGATCTAGATGATCTAGAATCTAGATCTAATCTAGATCTAAAATCTAGAGCTGGGCCAGTAAAACAGGGTGGCAGTTTTACAGGCACAGGGCTTGTTAGTATCATCTTCTGTTTTGCCGTAGAAATCTACATTGTTTTTAGCTCTTTGTTATAATAAAACTTAAGAAATGGACTAGATCTAGATCTAGATATCTAGATCTAATTGACTATCTACTAAATGCTTGTGTGCTAGGGGTCTGCAAAAATACCCCCCTGCTCCTAAGAGTAGGCCTAGATTTCTATTTAAATGTGTTTTAAGGCTGCAATTACAATATAATTTGATTGGTGGTCATTGAATGCGATACTTGTTTCTGTCTGCAGATGATAATAAAAACCCCTGAAGCCTCATTCTCATGGGTTTTTTTTTCAGATGTTCTTTTCTCTTCTATTCTTTCAACCAGGTGAAGATAGGATGTCTCCAGCCTTATTAGGCCTACACAAGACCTCAACTTCTGGGGTCTTTCAACTCTTGTCCACCGCTAATGTGAGATGCACCCATGGCCACATTGCTGCGCAGCACCAGCACACATCTAGCCTCACATCATGACAAATGCCCGTTGAAAACAACTGGTGCTTTTACTCGCACTAAAGTAAAAGGCATAGCAGACAAGTAGGCCTAAACAGCACCAAGTATCACACTAGGAAAGGCTTTCCATCTACCTCAACCCTCTCGTTACCTCATTTGAGAAACCTGTGCACTACAGATGAGCCAATGGAGGGGTGTGTGCTTGACATGAATGAGTTTCCATTCACATCTGGATGAAGTGCCCCAAGAAGACTGTCTTTGTAACCAAACCAAGAGCAGAAGTAGCTTTAACTCTCACTACGACCGACTGGAATCAGGGGGCTCTTGTGGTCTCTGAAGCTGCAGTTCTCAGCTCAAACCATGGACAGTGGCACCAGAAGGGACTTGTACCCAAATGAAGAAGGCAGAGACAGGAACCATCTTTTAGAGGAGGAAAAATGAACTGGCTGACCTCCATAATCCAGGAAGAGGGACTGATTAGGAATAAAGTGTCTCCTCTGAAATTTATGACTGTGGTTCACTTTGGTTGCAAGGTGAAGTTACATGTTTTGTCACAAATTGCCCTCAATTTTCTCTTTTCAGTTGATGCTGTACTATTAAACAGACCTCTCTGTTGCATCATTACCTGCAGTATTTTATGGTTGTTGTTTTTTTAAGAATAAGATATCAAAGAATTTGTAATATTGATGAATCATTGATAGTTTTTATACAATTCAGTTCATGCACCTACCTGTTTTGGTTTGCAATTTCTGATGGAATCAGTCAGTAGGCCCTGCGTCTTTTCAAGTTTTCTCAAAACGACAAAAATTAAGGGGTATAGGTTGCGTCCTGAGCTCTCACTTAAAGCTTAAGTGGAGGATTTCTAGCGTTCAACAACAACAAAACAAAATAAATCTCACAAAAAGATTAACATTTCTTGTTGTCTTTCTCTGTCTCGTCCAGAGCAGGATGTTACCCTCGCTGGTGTCTGTGGCCCTCCTTCTCCCCGTGTTCCGCGCGGCCCAGGGAGCAGTAACCGTCCAACACCACTGGGCCGGGGGCTTCCAGGGAGAGGCCTGTATCCCCATCTCCAAAGACCTCAACGGCTGGAAGGCTCATCTTGTGTTCCAGGAGGACGTGAAATCTTTGGATGTAAGGCCTTTTGTTTATGTTTTAGTAGAGTTTTTACGGCGCTTGCAACTGCATACATGTATAAGGTCATATGAGCGCAAAAGGATGGATGTCAACAGAGAAGTCCATAAAGGGAATCAGGCTTACTCTGCTCACTCTCTAACTTCAACGGCACAAAGTCTGCTTCGACTATCATGGCACCCCGGAAAGAGCAGGTCACAAGAGTGTGGCAAACATACAAAAGTAGAGGGAAAATAACGATAGTAAGGATTAGAAAAGAAAAAGCAGCAGTTCCCTGTTACAGTTCAGGCACAGTTATGAGCATGATATTGGTGAATCAACCCATTTACAATTCTACTGTGCATAGGCACAAGACAAGAACATGTTAATGTTCTCCCTCTGGGAATGGCCTAAAGGCACTTCAGTCAGTAGCACCATCCTGGAGTGTTGGTGTAAGGCCTTTGCTTATATAATATACCCTTTATTTTCAATGTTGAAAGAGTTGCATTTACGTATATTTACATGCGTAGGCTACATGGTTACATACGTTAGTGGGTTGGTTTTTCTTTTCTTCCG